GATATTCATGCTGTTGGTCCATACGATTAAATGCCAGTCAAGTCACCAGGCCTGGCACGTAAGAATTTCTCAGATAAGAATGTTAAAACGAATGCTAGTTTTGTTTTCTTCTAGAAGTCTGTGCAAAGCTGCACGAGGGCTAACTGCGCTAGCCATCCCTAATTTAGTAGTGAAAGACTAGAGGGAGGGCAGCTAGTCATCACTACCCACCACCAACTCTTGGGCTACTCTTTTATTAACGAATAGTGGGATTGACAGTCACATTATAATGCCCACATGGCTGAAAGGGTGAGCATGTTTGGTGAAACAGGGATTTGAATCCACAGATTGCAAATTGAGTGCCCTAACCACCTGGCCATGCCAGGCCTATAGACATTGGAAATCATCAATATTTTGTACACTAGGTGAATTATGTAAAGTATGCAGGAAGGATTAATGTGGTTTGGTCATGACAGTCTTACTTTCGCAATGGAAAGCATGTTATTGTCAAGATACTCATTTCTCAGATTGTGAATAATCAGATGTGCTGAAATTGTCAGTAACGATGTGATAAGGATCCAAAATCATTTTAATATGATGTACTCAATCTTCTGTATTCTACAGTGATATGTAAATATGAAATAAATTATATTAGTTCTACATATACTTACACAACCTAAATATCCACTCCACTTGGGAAAACAAAATCCACCACATTGTCAAATCATCAGTGCTTTATAGATTTAACTTCACTAAAATACAAATTTTCCATTTGTTGTCACACACACATTGCACTAACAGAAATATAAAGTAAGTAGTTACTTATAACCATTATGCATTAAGATGAGGGATATAACAATATATTGCCATATTTTGTAAAATGACTGGTACAGATACATAGCTTATGTATTGAGATACAACAATAAATATGCAAATGTATGTTTACATTTTTGATCTGCCACAATTATTCATCTACAAATGCAAATCATAAAAAAAGGCTTAGCTCTATGATCCTGTGGTTGTAGTAAATTGTACATGGTATATCCCAGTATGCAATGTGTATGTGTAGTATGCAATGCCAAGTGGCAAACTGCATTTACATCAAGGTGAAAAACAAGAACCTGAAATCAGAGCTCTTCGATGCTTTATAGATCAGCAATGTGGAAATATTTTGAATTCCCTGTCACCACAGAAAATTACTCAACCAAACTTTGAAAAAATAATGTTTATAATGCATGCAAAGTCTACTATAAAAACCAACTCTCCACTGCATACAAGACAGACGAACGGATTCTAAAGGATATCGTTTACAAAAATACTACACCAAAGAAAC